CCTACCTCATGGTTTTGTTTTTGCATTTAATTCAACTCCAAATCTCATTCGGGACCAACAATAACCTAAAATGCACATTACATATGTGAAAACATGAATCTTTTTTATACCAACAGGGACTTGAACCTGGGACTTATTATTACTAAGCCAAGGCACTACCAACTACACACCACAGAAGGTTAAAGGGAAACAAACCACAAAGCTTATATCTGCTATGGTAGGAATGAACACATTCTATTTGAATGCCACTTTGTTCATATAACAGTTTCCCCAAGCTCACTCGTGGTTTCGTTTTCTCATTTAATTCAACTCCCAATCTCATTCGGGACCAACAATAACCAAATAAGCACATTACATATGTGATAACATGAACCATTTTTACCCCAACAGGGACTTGAACATGGGACTTATTATTTCTAAGTCAAGGCGTTACCAACTACACCACAGAAGGTTAAAAGGAAACAAACCTCACAGCTTATATCTGCTACAGTAGGAATAAACGCATTCAATCTGAATGCCACTATGTTCGTATTACAGTTTCCCCAACCTCACTAGTGGTGTCGTTTTCTCATTTAAATCAACTCCCAATCTCATTCGGGACCAAAAATAACCAAATAAGCACATTACATATGTGAAAACATGAACCATTTTTACCCCAACAGGGACTTGAACCTGGGACTTATTATTACTAAACCAAGGCCCTACCAACTACACCACAGAAGGTTAAAGGGAAACAAGCCTCACAGTTTATATCTTCTATTGTATGAATGAACACATTCTATCTGAATGCCACTATGTTCGTATTACAGTTTCCTCAACCTCACTCATGGTTTTGTTTTCGCATTTAATTCAACTCCCAGTCTCATTCGAGACCAACAATAACCAAATAAGCACATAACATATGTGAAAACATGAATCATTTTTATCCCAACCGGGACTTGAACCTGGGACTTATTATTACTAAGCCAAGGTACTACCAACTACACCACAAAAGGTTAAATGAAAACAAACCTTGCAGCTTATATCTGCTATCGTAGGAATGAATGCATTCTATCTGAATGCCTCTATGTTCATATTACAGTATCCCCAACCTCACTCAATATTTTGTATTCACATTTAATTCAACTTCCAATCTTATTCGGGACCAACAACAGCGAAAAACGCACATTACATATGTGAAAACATGAATCATTTTTATTCCAACCGGGACTTGAACTTGGGACTTCTTATTACTAAGCCAAGGCCCTACCAATTACACCACAGTAGGTTAAAGGGAAACAAACCTCAAAGCTTATATCTGCTATGGTAAGAGAGAATGCATTTTATCTGAATACCACTATGTTCATATTACAGTTTTTCCAACCTCACTCGTGGTCTCGTTTTTGCATTTAATTCAACTCCCAATCTCATTCGGGACCAACAATAACAAAATAAGCGCATTACATATGTGAAAACATGAATCATTTTTACCCCCAACATGGACTTGAACCTGGGACTTATTATTACTAAGCCAAGGCGATACCAACTACACCACAGAAGGTTAAAGGGAAACAAGCCTCACAGCTTATATCTGCTATTGTAGGAATGAACACATTCAATTTGAATGCCACGAAGTTTATATTAAATTTTCCCCAACCACACTCATGGTTTTACTTTCACATTTAATTCAATTCCCAATTTCATTCGGGACCAACAATAACCAAATAAGCACATTACATATTTGAAAACATGAATCATTTTTACCCCAACTGGGACTTGAGCCTGGGACTTAATATTACTAAGCCAAGGCACTACCAACTACACCACGGAAGGTTAAAGGGAAACAAACCTCGCAGCTTATATCTGCTATTGTAGGAATGAACACATTCTATCTGAATGCCACTATGTTCAAATTACTGTTTCCCCAACCTCACTCATGCTTTTGTTTTCGCGTTTAATTCAACTCCTAATCTCATTCGAGACCAACAATATCCAAATAAGCACATTATATATGTGAAAACATGAATCATTTTTACCCCAACCTGGACTTGAGCCTGGGACTTATTATTACTAAGCCAAGGCGCTACCAACTACATCACAGAAGGGTAAATGGAAACAAACCTCGCATTTTATATCTGCTATGGTAGGAATGAATGCATTCTATATGAATGCCACTATGTTCTTATTACAGTATCCCCAACCTTACTCATGGCTTTGTTTTCGCATTTAATTCAACTCCCAATCTTATTCGGGACCAACAATAGTGAAATACGCACATTACATATGTGAAAACATGAATCATTTTTATCCCAACCGGGACTTGGACTTGGGACTTATTATTACTAAGCCAAGGCACTACCAACTACACCACAGAAGGTTAAAAGGAAACAAACCTAAAAGCTTATATCTGCTATGGTAAGAGAGAATGCATTCTATATGATGCCACTATATTTATATTAGTTTTCCCAACCTCAGTCGTGACTTCGTTTTCGTATTTAATTCAATTTCCAATCTCATTAGGGACACAACAATAACCAAATAAGCACATTACATATGTTAATACATGAATCATTTTTACTCTAACAGGGACTTGAACCTGGGGCTTATTATTACTAAGCCAAGGCGCTACCAACTACAAAAAAGAAGGTTAAAGGGAAAGAAACCTCACAGCTTATATCTGGTATGGTAGGAATGAACACATTCTCTTCGAATGCCACTATGTTCATATTACAGTTTCCCCAACTTCACTCATGGTTTTTTTTCGCATTTAATTCAACTCCCAATCTCATTCGAGACCAACAAAAACCAAATAAGCACATTATATATATGAAAACATGAATCATTTTACCCCAACAGGGACTTGAACCTGGGGCTTATTATTACTAAGCCAAGGCACTACCAACTACATCACGGAAGGTTAAATAGAAACAAACCTCGCAGCTTATATCTTCTATGGTAGGAATGTATGCATTCTATCTGAATGCCACTAAGTTCATATTACAGTATCCCCAACGCCACTCTAGGTTTCGTTTTCGCATTTAATTCAACTCCCAATCATATTCGGGACCAACAATAGCAAAATACGCACATTACATATATGAAAATATGAATAATTATTATCCCAACCGGGACTTGAACTTGGGACTTATTATTACTAAGCCAAGGCGCTACCAATTACACCACAGAAGGTTAAAAGGAAGCAAACTTAACAGCTTATATCTGCTATGGTAGGAGAGAATGCATTCTTTCTGAATACCACTATGTTCATATTACAGTTTTCCCAACCTCACTCTTGACTTCGTTTTTGCATTTAATTCAACTCCCAATCTCATTCAGGACCAACAATAACCAAATAAACACATTACATATGAGATGACATGAATCATTTTTACTCCAACAGGGACTTGACCCTTGGACTTATTATTACTAAGCCAAGGCGATACCAACTACACTAGAGAAGGTTAAAGGGAAACAAGCCTCACAGCTAATATCTGCTATTGTAGTAATGAACACATTCTATCCGAATGCCACTAAGTTCATATTACAGTTTCCCCAACTTCATTCATGCTTTTGTTTTCGCATTTAATTCAACTCTCAATATCATTCAGGACCAACAATAACCAAATAAGCACATTACATATGTGAAAACATGAATCATTTCTATCCCAACCGGGACTTGGACCTGAGACTTATTATTACTAAGCCAAGGCACTACTAACTATGCCACGGAAGGTTAAAGGGAAACAAACCTCGCAGCTTATATCTGCTATGGTAGGAATGAATACATTCTATCTGAATGCCACTATGTTCGTATTACAGCTTCCCCAACCACACTCGTGGTTTCGTTTTTACATTTAATTCAACTCCAAATCTCATTCGGGACCAACAAAAACAAAATAAGCGCATTGCATATGTGAAAACATGAATTATTTTTACCCCAATCAGGACTTGAACCTGGGACTTATAATTACTAAGCCAAGGTGCTACCAACTACACCATGGAAGGTTAAAGGGAAACACACTTCACAGCTTATATCTCCTATGGTTGGAATGAACACATTCTATCTGAATGCCACTATGTTCATATTACTGTTTCCCCAATCTCACTCGTGTTTTCTTTTCGCATTTAATTCAACCCCCAATCTCATTCGGGACCAACAATACCCAAATAAACACATTACATATGTGAAAACATGAATCATTTTTATCCCAACAGGTAGTTGAACCTGGGAATTATTATTACTAAGCCAAGGAGCTACCAACTACACCACATAATTTTAAAGGAAAACAAACCTCACAGCTTATATCTGCTATTGTATGAATGAACGCATTCCATCTGAATGCCATTATGTTCATATTGCAGTTTTCCCAACCTCACTCGTGGTCTCGTTTTTGCATTTAATTCAACTCCCAATCTCATTCTGGACCAACAATAACCAAATAAGCACATTACATATGTGAAAACATGAATAATTTTTACCCCAACAGGGACTTGAACATGGGACTTTTTGTTACTAAGCCAAGGTTCTACCAACTACTCCACAGGATGTTAAAGGGAAACAAACCTCACAGCTTATATCTGCTATGGTAGGAATGAACGCATTCTATCTGAATGCCACTATATTCATATTACAGTTTCCCCAACCTCTCTCGTGGTTTCGTTTTTGCATTTAATTCAACTCCCAATCTCATTCTGGGCCAACAATAGCCAAATAAGAACATTACATATGAGAAAACATGAATCATTTTTATTCCAACTGGGACTTTAACCTGGGACTTATTATTACTAAGCCAAGACACTACCAACTACACCACAGAAGGTTAAAGGGAAACAAACTTCACAGCTTATATCTGCTATGGTAGGAGAGAATGCATTCTATCTGAATACCACTGTGTTCATATTACAGTTTCTCCAACCTCACTCGTGGTTTCTTTTTTTGTATTTAATTCAACTCCCTATCTCATTCGGGACCAACAATAACCAAATTAGCACATTACGTGTGTGAAAGCATGAATCATTTTTACCCCAACTGGGACTTGAACCTGGGTCTTAGTATTACTAAGCCAAGGTGCTACCAACTACACCACAGAAGGTTAAAGGGAAACAAACCTCACAGCTTATATCTGCTATGGTAGGAATGAACGCATTCTATCTGAATGCCACTATGTTCATATTACAGTTTTCCCAACCTCCCTCGTGGCTTCGTTTTCGCATTTATTTCAACTCCCAATCTCATTTGGGACCAACAATAACCAAATAAGCACATTACATATGTGAAAACATGAATCATTTTTACCCAAACCGGGACTTGAACCTGGGACTTATTATTACTAAGCCAAGGTGCTACCAACTACACCACAGAAGGTTAAAGGGAAACAAACTTCACAGCTTATATCTGCTATGGTTGGAATGAACGCATTCTATCTAAATGCCATTATGTTCATATTACAGTTTCCCCAACCTCACTCGTGGTTTCGTTATCACAATTAATTCAACTTCCAATCTCATTCAGGACCAACAATAACCAAATAAGCACATTACATATGTGAAGACTAGAATCATTTTTACCTTAACCGGTACTTGAATCTGGGACTTATTATTACTTTATTAAGCCAAGGCACTACCAACTGCACCACAGAAGATTAAAGGGAAATAAACCTCATAGCTTATATCTGCCTTGGCTTAGCAATAATAAGTCCCAGGTTCAAGTCTCGGTTGGGGTATAAATGATTCACGTATGTAATGTGCTTAATTGGTTATTGTTGGTCCCGAATGAGATTGGAGTTGAATTAGTTGCGAAAACGAATCCACGAGTGAGGTTGGAGAAAGTGTAATATGTATATAGTGGCTTTGAGAAGGAATGCGGTCATTCTTACAATAGCAGATATAAGCTGTGAGGTTTGTTTCCCTTTAACCTTCTGTGGTGTAGTTGGTAGCACCTTGGCTTAGTAATAATAAGTCCCAGGTTCAAGACCCGGTTCGGGTAAAAATGATTCATGTTTTCACATAAGTAATGTGTTTATTCTTTATTGTTGGTCCCGAATGAGATTGGGAGTTGCATTAAATGCGAAAACGAAACCACGATTGAGGTTGGGGAAACTGTAATACGAACATAGTGGCATTCAGATAGAATGCGTTCATTCCTACTAGCAGATATAAGCTGTGAGGATTGTTTCCCTTTAACCTTGTGTTTTTTTTAGTTGATAGCACCTTGGCTTAGTAATAATAAGTTCCAGGCTCAAACCCAGTTGGGGTAAATAATTATTCATGTTTTCGCATATGTAATGTGCTTATTTGGTTTTATATATATATATATATATATATATATATATATATATATATATATATATATATATATATATATATATATATATATATATATATATATATATATATATATATAATCATAAGTCCTAGGTTTAAGTCCTGTACGGTAAAAAATGATTCATATATATATATATATATATATATATATATATATATATATATATATATATATATATATATATATATATATATATATATATATATATATATATATATATATATATATATATATATATATATATATATATATATATATATATATATATATATATATATATATATATATATATATATATATATATATATATATATATATATATATATATATATATATGTGTATATATATATATATATATATATATATATATATATATATATATATATATATATATATATATATATATATATATATATGTATATATATATATATATATATATATATATATATATATATATATATATATATATATATATATATATATATATATATATGCATACCTGCATACATACATGCATACATATACTTGGTCTTCTTTTGCCTTGCAAGGGGGATGGACCAGCCAAGTAACATGTATTTACCACAAACCACTCATGCTTATACTTTTCCTTTTAGCTCCTTTTTGGGATGTCGTACTTAGTAGTCGTGCCTTCGGTATACCACAGTAGTATTTTGTAGTTATACTCCACTGTCGTGTTAGAGTTGTACTTTCGCTGGCACCAGTGTTGTGTAGATTTTATTTATATATTCATTTACACTTCATGCCAGAACTCCATCGTGCAAGGTGAGAATAGATGCTGAACACTTAATTTATTTAAAAGCTACAGAGTTCCTCTTGGCCTCAATGCCCCCATCCCCTGAAGATTATGTTGTCTGTATGGGCGCCTAAAGTATTCTGCCTCCCTCACAAGCTGTTTGACCCTTTTTTATTACCTCGGATCATTCAAACACATATGAAGCGTTAGGGGGCATATTTCTTGGTCATTCCTCCACCAATAGGCATGCAAAGAAGGGGGAACACACCGCTAATTTCTGGGCTTGGTTCCTATAGCAGAGAAAGCCATGTGAGAGCCTCCAGCCTGCACATGGTACATCCATAGCCGTGAGCTCTGCATCAAACCCCACGGCCCATTCCAGAAATATGTTTTTTTCTGGTGAAGCACTAACTTACAACAAAAAGGATGGCTACCATCTGCTGAGATAACAGAGTTCATGTAAGGTAACGTAGTATTAAGTCAAGCACATCTAAAAGCATTGCGAATCGGAAGAGATTGTGTTATTAATATTAGAATTAGCTAACATACATCATTTCAGGCCATATGCAGAGCATAATTACCTAAATGCATTTTTTCTGTATTACATATCAAAGTTTCCCTATGCTCCTTAATACATACTAAAATTACCTAAACATTATTTCATTGTCAAGGGTACACTCAGTATATAGAATATGTGATTTCCAAAAAAGACAACAAAGGAAAAATATGCTCTCACAACAATCATTCTAATTAAAGAATTTCAGTAGCAAATAAAACACTGTCTAATTAAATATTGACAACTACATGATGTAGCTATTAATGAGTGACAAAATGGCAATCAGTCTACTACAGAAAAAAATTAATACATTTTCATATAAAAGACGACTATTCAATAATACTAGTTAATAGTAAAATATAAAAATTTTTATAGCACCCAATTAAAATGAAAATACTGTTTGTAAGTGATAATTATCTAAATATACTCATAAATGACAATGACACTTACTATATTAAAACTAGCCTAACTATTTTTCTTATATCTATAAACTACTTGTAGGGAAGCATTGAGGCTTCTTAACTTTAATTTTAGGATCTAAAAAAAATCAGGCTTGGTATGCTGGAGAAAAATATTATACTGTACATGGTTTCACTGTGGGGAATTTTCAGTTTCCTGTGTTATGTTCTATTCTGTGGGAAATGTATCTCTCTCTCACTTTCTTTTCTTTTATTGGGAATTTTCCATATCCTTTTTATTTTCATCTCAGTTTTGCTCACTTCTTTTGCATTCCCCTTCGTCCCCATATGGAATCCCATATTTTTTGGGATATAGGTACTGGGCCGACCCCCTCCTTTTTCTGTCATCCCTCACATCTACGCTGTGAGATAAGCCCGGGTTGTAACATCGAATGGGCCTTTAGCCCTACGTCGGGGACATTGGAAGAGCACAGATATATCCATTTCAAGTGCCTCTTTCCCGCGTTGACTCGACTGTTGAGGTGATCATATCACCGTATCTCCTCCCATGACACCTATCCCCCCGATGCTCATCTCCCTCCAAGCTCAAATTCTGCAATCATAATAGCCTGCGAGTAGATTCTTGGGCCAGAAATAAGGGCCTAATGGGGCTATCACATATACAGGAAACACTAGATATCACCTCTGGGTATAAACTATGGCCTTATGTAAGTACACAGAGGGGATTTTGCACATCCCCTGTATCTGCAAGCACTTGCAGTCTCTCCAATGGGGAAAAGGGAAAAGTTTGAAATTGCAGGTCGGGGCTGCCTGAAAGTAGAATAGTGGTTGTAAATATCTGTCTACACCATTCAGATCATTCTTCCAAGATACTTAGGACATAGCTGAGTAACTGATAGAGCATCTCTACAATTCATTATTGTGCTATAGACATAAAAAAGAAAAGTCATGAAATTCTGATAAGAACATGCACAAAAGTAATACTCTTATCAACAGTGTCTACAGTAAGACAATGGTAAGAATTCAAAATAAAAATGCTAATAATTGCGCTACTACTTATAATATGAAGAAAATAATAATTAGCCAGAATGACAATGGAGTGATAGTAACAACAACAACAATATTACTACTACTACTAATAATAATTATAATAAAAGATAAGAATAACAGTAAATAATAAGTGATAATACCATTTTGAGGCAAGAACAAAAAATTCTGTAATTGTATTTCATAATAATACTCATTTTAAAGTAAATTCTTTTGGCCAGTTTCTTTTACCATTTTTGAATTCCTGCTGTCATAATATAGAGCAGCATAGCCACCAACCTTCCTGTTGCTCGGCTTATCGGCGGTAGCTCAGATTTCCTTTTAAGACAGTTGAAATATGTGAAAGACAAACTCCCTGTTACTGTTCAATTCAAATTCTGTCTTATCAATGTAACATTAACATGCAAAAACACAAAAATAAAAAATGGAGCTAGCTCACATTTATCATCTAGCAGTTTATAAAAAAAATGAAAAAAATGCAATCAAAATACCCAAAGTCAGCATCTTATAAAAACGTGGCTTCATGCATTCAATTACTAATAAAAATACAGAGGAAGGGTTTATCTCACTTTTACAATACTGAACTCTTATTTGGCAAAATAAATCGGCCATGTCTCTCTCTCGCGAAGAGAATTTGAAGTAATATATATTTCTTTAAAAAAAAATATATATCATTTGTCTTGAATATATTTCAAGACAGTTTATTTCTACGTACATATGTAAGTGTTGTTTTGCATGATAGTTTTTTAATGTAGTTTAAGTGCATGTATGTAGATTTACAGACTTTGTATGTATACGTATTCATTTATATGAAGTATGTATAAGTGTTTTTATGCATAGTGTATGTATAGCTCCGAAGTCGAGAGCAAAATCTGCTTTGGTAGGCTTTCTGCCAATTAATCTTTTACCTCGTCATGATAACGTTGATTACTTTGTGTAAAAGAGAGTTCTTTCTCAATTATAATTGTCCACGTGGTAAGAACATGATTATT